GGGAGACGCTTTCAAACACACCTTTAGCGTTTCAGCCCTGGTAGTATCCTTTAAGACCGGTAGGATTTGACGATGGTCACCACTAAAAACCATTACCCCCCCCCAAACGGCTCGACTTCATTACCCGTGATGTCGCGAAAAGTTCGGTCAATAGCTTCGAAACACGCTCGATGTATCATCGGCGCCTCGCCCCAAATAATCAAACTGGCCCGGCGTATCAATTCCGCTTTCTGGCTCTGTTTCGGAATATTACACGTCGAATGGTCGTCTAGTTTCAGTGGAATCCGAAATGTAGAATGCGCCGTATGACCCACTGTCAGCAATGTTGCTGCAATTCCACTGGAAGCAACTGACACAGCAACCCTTCCCTTCAGACGTACCCTGGCAAGGATTTGTTCGAGCAAGAAGGATTTACCGGTACCCCCTGGTCCGTCAATAAAAAAATAGTTTCCGGCAGACTTGGGGAGACTGTACTGCGCCCATCACTTGGTCGAAAACATCCCTTTGGTTTTCATCCAACTTGTCTACAACCGCAGTTGTACTCTCTAACTGTTCCAATGGATACGCGTTGAGTTCTTGGCAAACCAAATCTCCTCCGAGACGTCCATCCGCAGCGTCTTGGTCGTAGTTCTCGAGCAGGGAAAGTGCGTAATTGGCTAACGTTTTCCCGGACTCGGAGGCGCCCCCGGTGTTACTACCCAATACGCCGGGTCCCATATACCATTGCTGGTACCGACGAGGAGCAGACAGCCCGGCAAAACCGGCTTTTATCGCCGTTTATGCTGCCCCTTACCCCGGATTGGGTATGAGACTTCCCATGCCGCTGGCGGGCGAACATGGGCGCCCCAGCCGAAGAGCTAGAGGGGTGGCCGAGCAAAAGATAGTTGAAAAGTACATAATATTAATTAACACATACATGATTGAGCCTCGCAGTCCTTGTCGCCGCCGCTAACTGCTTGCCGTCGTGTCCTGCCGCCGTCCGCGCGCTTTCCGAAATGACGTATGCAAAAGAGTCGGACATCGTACGTATGTGAAAATATATTTTTAACCAATGATTTTTTGTAGTAAGGTGGGCGGACGGACGGACAGTAACGTTACGATTTTAAAGACCGGGATTGGCGGTGACCCGAGTCGCCAACTAATACGAGAACAAAATATGAAATATTTATTTAATTTTAGCACCAGGTACTTCAGTAACAGTTCGCGTTTGGACTGCGATCCTTCCACTGTTGGCTGAAATGAGCGACCCTCCTACGACGAACTGGCGGTACAGGTGGCTTGAGCCAGACTGCACCACGGAAGAAACAAAAACCTCGAAATTGACTGACAGCGTTTGAGCGTGCTTGTGCTCTACTTGGCACTGAGAAAGTTGAGCAGTTACAAGCCACGTACAAGTCACTAGAATCCAAATGGGGCGGGACCGGGCACCCTCAGGCGGAGGGTATGGTTCTCTCCTTGACTGGCCAAGGCGTTCCAGACGCACAAGTTAGAGCGATATTCGGCGTTGGTGGATCCAAGATAGCGCGTCTCAAAGCCGTAACCAAGAATGGGATCGACACTCTACACACTCGGTGCCAGCGTAGCCGCCCAAGTCACTCTTACTCAGATGATGGCGTGAAATTTCTAATTACAGACTGTAACGAATGGGAACTTGAAGAAGGATATCCATGTTCGCATCGTAATTTACGGCAGTACTTAGTGTAGCCTGGTGTAGCTTGGAAATTATTAAGGTCAAGATACAGAACAAAAGCTGAAGACCGAAGCCGTCGTATTATGGAGTATTCGCGATGGCTCCAGTACGTACACTGTTACTTTCCTGGTGTTCGCCAATAACAACAATTCAGTCTCGGTAACCTCAGATATTGATGGCGACACATCATATTTTAGGAGCGACATCATTTAGCTTAACACGGACGTTGGATCAAAGTTGCAGTGCATCCAGAGCT